GCGATATCTTGATCCTCCCTGGAGTCCACATCATTTCAAACCACCATCCCTTTTTCTCCTGTTCCCATTAAAGCAAAATTCCTGGAAAGAGCTGTCATTATGATCCTTGTCTCTCTTGAGCCAACTCCAGTCACGTTTTTGCCCATATCCATGAGTTCCTGTTGGCCAAATCCCACAGGCAACTGTGAGTCTTTATCTTATCTCTCAGAAGCTTGACAAACTAGAGCACTTCCTTTTCCTGGACACCAGGACTCACCCTTCCCCTGGCTTCTTGTGACTCATTGCCTGCTCCTTCTCAGGGCCCTTGCTGGATCTTTCCCCTTTTTCTAGGTTGCTGCTGATTGTTTCGCTTTGCTTTTTTCAGTACTAGGGATCAAACCCAGGGCCTCGCATGGCCTAGGCAAGCGCTCTACCCCTGAGCTACACCCCAAGTCCTCTTTTCCCTATTTCTGGTCTATAAATGTTTTCATGCTCTCAAAGTCCTCAGCTTTTTCTCTCTTCACTTTTCTCATGGGTCTTGCAGTTTTAGATGCCATCCTTACACCAATGACTCTCAAATTGGTATCTCCAGCCAGAGCTTTGCCCAGAATGCCAATGTCTTGATACCTCCCTGGGAAGTCTGATGGGCACTCAACCTCAATATGTGCCAAAGAGATTTGGTGACATTGAACTCCCCAAATGTGCTCGTCCCCCCATGTCCTGTAATAATGTAAAAATTGGTAATTAGTGTCTTCATTCTCCTGGTTGTTTAGGTCCCGACTTTGGAATCATCTTTGATAATTTTTTTTTGTTTGTTTTTTGTACCAGGGATTGAACTCAGGAGCACTAGACCACTGGGCCACATCTCCAGCCCTTTTTTGTATTTTATTTAGAGATAGGGTCTCACTGAGTTGCTTAGCACCTCGCTAAATTGCTGAGGCTGGCTTTGAAATGGTGGTCCTCTTGTCTCAGCCTCCCATGCCACTGGGATTATAGGCGTGGGCCACCATGCACAGTTTTGATGCTTTTTTTCCACTCACCTTCTACATCTAAGCATCAATAAATCATGTCACTTTTCTCTCCAAAGTATACCCCATTCTAATCACTTGTCACTACATACTTGCCACCATTCTCTAGTGCTAGCCATTAATTTGGACTTCTGCAATGGCTACGTCTCTGTTTCAACTCTTGCCCCCAGATCCCAAGTCTATTTTGTGCATAATACCCAAGGGTATCCTTTGGACATATGAGATTTGTGCTTACAAGAGGATAAATACAAGAAATTCTATTGTTAGTCACAAAGGAAAATTTGAAACAATCTGTCAATTAATTAATATTGTGGTAATTTTTACAGTAGAATTACTATCTAACAAGGGGAAACAAGGTAGATTTAAATGGGAGATATGAGAAGGCCTAGAAAATATTGCTGTATGAGAAAAATAATTGAAGAAAGTGGTTAAATAAATTTTGCTGCATCTATACAATGAAATGATAGGCAATCATTAGTAATGTGTAGGTGGAATACTATGTACTAATTGGAAAATGTTCAAGATATTTTGTGAAAATCCTTTTAATTAAAGGTATACATGTATATGCTTAAGTATATTCAGATTGTCCCTGGAAAGATGCATAAGAAACTGACAAATTGGCTTCTTCTGGGGATGGGATATGAAGCTCAGGTGAAGAAGGGGATAGTTATTTTTACATTATGTCCTTGGATGCTACAAAAATTTTATCATGAGTATGTATATGTATATGTGAGCACACACAAGTATGTATACTGATACATACATTTTTATGGTATTTTAAGGTCGATTTGTTTGTAGTTTTGTTTTAGATGTACAATTTCACTTGAAATGTATTGATATAAAGAGTAAGGTAAGAATATATTCTTGCAGCGGGGCACAGTGGCCCATGCCTGTAATCCCAGCGACTTGGGAGGCTGAGGCAGGAGGATCTCAGGTTCAAAGCCAGCCTTAGCAACTTAGCAAGGCACTAAGCAACCACTAAAAAAATTTTAAAAAGAGCTGGGATGTTTTTCAGTGGTTGAGTGCCCCTAAGTAGTTCAATCCCTGGTACCAAAAAAAAAAAAGTACATTCTTGAAGTAACTGACAGTTATCCCAATGTTAATCCATTTTTTCTCAACCGAGTCAAATGCCACTTTCACTAAACACTATGTTTCTATTGCTACTTTTTTCTTTAAATGATGCTGGGGATTGAACCCAGGACCTCACACACTCTAAGCGCTTACTGTACCACTGAGCTATACTCCCAGCCCTACGATTTTAATTATCATCCTCATCAGCAGATTTCTAAACTCAAGTAAAAAAACAATAAAAAAAATTCCCTTGGATTTGTGCTGCAAAGTTATAAAAAAAATTGATACCAAGGTACCTATATATATGCTCTGCAATTATGTACTAATTCACTTTAATACAAATGTGTCCTGAATTGTAGAGACATTTGAGTTTCAATATTTCCCTTTTCTTTAAAAATAGGTAAATAAATAAAAGCAAGGCAAAGCCTGTATTTCCTTCATAGCTATATTATTAACCCTGAGAAACTGTGCTTACTGCCTGCCAACATGCTTCTGGTCCCCTCTGTGGGTGAGTAATTGTGTGTTTTACAAGCACTCACCTGGATTTATATAGCCGTTCTGTAGGAAACTGCCACAGAACCAGCATGTGGTTAAGACTGTTCATCTCTCACTTAAATGCTGCTGCCTAAAACTTCCCAGCTGGAAGGTGGGCTTAGTGCTCACAAGAGCTACATTTAACTATTGGAAGGACTTGGAAAATTCCAGGTTTTATTAGGTTCTGAGCCCTTGTTGGCTCAGTATTGTTCTATTTCTACTCCCTTTCCAAATTAGATAGTTCCATGTTCTGCTTGAGATTGCACTGCAGAGGGACAATTTATACATTCTGTAGAATCGTTCTATGTCTACAGTGGTAACAGGAAGAAGAGAGCAACAATAATGGGTTAGAAAATAATGGCCAATTTGTTTCTGGTAGCATTGCAGACTATATCCCTGGGCATCCCTCCCTCTGCAAAGCAACTAAAAATTCTAGATGAAATTATTTAAAGGCGTAATATTTAGATTTAAGTGTATAACAAAACATTAAACTGGGAGTTTTGAATGAGACATCAAGATATGATAAATATCAGACACAAAATAAGTTTTGAGACAGACCAAGATGATGTTCAACACAGATGACCAAGAATACAACCCAGGCTGAAGACACGGTCTCGTGGCTTTGCCCTGGAGCTCCACAGGGAGGGCTTCTGGAAAGAATTCCTTTTGAGAGCTCCTGCTACCCTACATGGGGTGGCCATGGAGAAAGAGACTCTAGCAACATGGGCGGTATTATCTTAGGTAACATGACCATAATCACACCTCATCACAGGCATCCATCTGCTGTGCCATATTCTACTGCCTAGAAGTAAGCTGCAAGTCCTGCTCATACTCAGAGCCAAAAGCAATAATTGAAAAAGGTACTGTCAGCCTGTCGTCTCCAAGGATTCTGCATCTGTGGATTCAACCAACCTCAGATCAAAAATACACAGAAAACAGGGGGTTGAGAAAGGGAAGAAGAAGAAGTACTTGAGTTCTAATTAAAATAAGATATATTTCATATTGTTTAGTTTTATCAAAATGGATTCAACTGTCATGTATACCTAAAAAGAACCAATACATTTTTTTAAATGTATGGAACAATCCCAGAAGGGAATACAGTATGTATTAAGTGCTTTGGTCAAAGATAATTCTCAAATACAACTCTTCACTGTTACACATACACACATATACACATGTGCGAGCGCAGGAAAGAGAAAACTTCATCTCTACAGACTTTTTTCTCTTGTCATTCATTATTTTCTAAACAATACAGAGAATGCCTATTAGCATAGTACTCACATTGTATTTTGTGTTAGGTATTACAAGTAGCCTAGAGATGATTTAAACTACACAGGAATCTATGCATACGTTATATGCAAACACTACACCACTATATAAGGCATTTGAGCATCCCCTGGGGTTCTGGAATCAGTCCTCATGGATATCAAAGAACCACAATGTATGGATGGCTTTTCTGCATTGATGGAGAAAAAATGCATTTGACCCAAAGGATTTTTTGTTCTTTTATTTGTTTGTTTTGTATAAAACAAATATACAAAAGCTACAAGGTCTGCAAACATACTCCTTGGATACTGTCTCACCTGGTAGTTTCTTTTCACACTTGTTTTTATTTCCCTACTTGCTTTTATTTCCCTACTTGATCCATAGGTTTGTGAAAGATTGGAGGGTGTTTTACACTGTGAGTCCCAGGATCCCCGTAGCACTGTCACATACGTACTTGGTACTCAAGCAATATTTGGCTGGAATCAACTTGGCACAGGGGAAAGTGCACAGGGTTATAGAACCCAGGAAAGATGCATTTATACCTCAGCTCTTCCATTTACTCAGTGGATAAACTACAGCAGGTACTAAACAATCCTCCTTCCTTAATTTCCTTATTTAATCCCATATTTTTGAGATAAAACGAGCTAATGTGTATAAATTGCCTGATTCGCTAAATTGTAGCAATTGCTGCTATTTATACCAACAAACACTAGTAATAAAGTGTTGAAAATGAACACATTTAACATTCAACAAAAAATTAAAACAGCTTTCTGTGATGGATATTTTTTTGCATGTATTAAAGTATCATGATTGCTTTTGATTGATGCTGCCCTGAGTAAGTTTGGCCTAGCCAGATGTCCATCCTCTAAAGTGCTCCATCACCTTCTCTTTGCCAACTACCCCCTTCAAATCATCATTTCACTTGCATGTACCTCCCCCAAACGAATCTGATTACCAACTACATACGACACACACTGAAGAGTTATCTTCTAATTGTAGTAATGTTTCTGCCACGAGAGGGCACAATGTGACTGTATATACTAGGTTAAAAAAAATACAATCATAAAAGTTAATAAAACATTACAGGATACACTGTGCTCCTATCATTTTTATTTGACTTACTTTTTTTTTTACATATTTGACTTAATTGTATTCTTTAAGGCAAGAATAATTGAAAGTAGGCTATTTCCACAATTTTCTTCTGAAAAATATTTGTCTCAGACTATAACTGGTTAACTTGGCATTATTATTTTCTGTTTAAACTGCTATGATTCATCTGTTTGGGGGAGTCATTTCCTGCCGGGCCTGAAGAGGTCTTCTAGTTCCAAATTACTCCACGTTCCTAGTTCTTGTTATGTTTCCTGCAGGGCATCAAGTTCATGGGTTTTATTAGAGCCTTGCAAATTAGTAGAAAAAATTTACTAGCCCATAAACATTTTTATCAGCTTCATCTTGCTCCTGGGGGCAGATTGGTAATGAAATGCTGAAAGCACGATTATTCATAACTTGCTCAGCTATAAAACTAATGATTGTTATGCAACCAGTCTCTAGCTCTCCCTCCCCTCCTCATGAAGAGCATGCATGTCAAATGGAAGTGAGCATAACAGCAGTCAAGTAAGCCTGCAGCTGAACACCAAAGGCAGCCCATGTGTGTGTGGCAAGACTGTGCCTGGTGTCAAGAGTAGCAAGAGTGAGACATGCAGTCTGATTACGTCGACAGATGAAAGTCATCTTCTTCTGTGGTCTGAATGTTTGTGTTCCCTCAAAATTCATATATTGAAATCACAATCCTCAAGATGATAGTGTTAGGAAATGGGGCCTCTGGGAGGTTATTAGTTCATGAAGGTTGAATCTGATCAATGTCTTATAAAAAGAGATCCCAGGGAGATCCCTCCCCCTTCTGCCATATGAGGCACAGTGAGAATTTGGCTGTCTTGTGAAGAAATGGGTCCTAACCAGACACTGTATCTGCCAGGGCCTTGACCTTGGACTCTCCAGCCTCCAGTACTGTGAGGAATCAATTTCTTTTGTTTATAAGCTATCTTGTCCTTGGGGTTTTGCAAAGCTGCCCTAACTACACTCTCCTTTGAGAAATCCTGCTGGCCACAATGTACAGTCCCTGATGAAGGGAATTATTGACCAGAATGTAACTGTACCCTTCTGCTTGTCCTTGTCCTTGTCCCTTCACACCCCCCACACACCCAGATACCCAGTGGGAAATGGGGAAAACCTTGGCATGCTGTTGACTAAGGTTTCTGACCTTGGGACTGAGTGGGATGCTTCCTGCACAGGAAGCTGGCACTTTCTGGTGTGACCCAGTTGTTCACGTCACGGTCCACCCATCTTCACTGTAAAGTCACAGGTGCTCCTTTGTGGTTGCCACATTCATTTCAACTTAGACTTCATATTTCATTCTAATCTTAATATGGCTAAGGTAAATGCCGTCCGCCCGATATTCAGGAGTGCCTGTCCCTTTCTGGAAAAGTGGCTGTGGTATACTGTGCTTCAAACCATTATAGCTCATATAGCCCTACTGGTTCACCCAGGACGAATGAACTACATAGTCATTAATAATGAAAGCAAATGCACGTCAAAGCAAAGAAGCCTCCTGAAGGCAAGAGGTGATGGTTGGAGGGACAACAGCAAAGAAAGATTTTTTTTTTCCCTCTACCATCAGCATTTCTCTCCTCTTCGTTCAAAGGCTCCATGGAACTGACCCCATGATTGGCAGTGGCTCCTGATGTGAACCCTGCCCATAAACACAGCCAAGGGGGATTGATGAGGACTAGTGAAGACATGGCCCAATAAGGGTGGGGTGACTGCAACCAGGATCCTCGGTGGTTCCCAGGACTGGGCTGCCAGGACAAAGGTGCCCGAGGATGCTGCCAGCCTAAACTGCAAGTCAGATTTCAGGACTGGTCTTTGCCTGTGGCTGTACTGAGAGGTTAATAGATGCCCTGTGAAATCCCACTAAAGTTCCTTTGCTCCAGGACTTCTAGGAACCTGTAACCAGCCAAAACTCTTATCTCCCAAAGGAAGATATTATTTTACAACAAATCCATTTTTGAAATAATGTCATACAAACCTGCTGTTTTGAGTTACTATGGGAACTATTTTTCTAATTATCTAATTTGGGTCAATTATTCCAAAAGAAAAAAAAAATCATAATGTGTTGTTCATTTATTAAGTAAGAGCAAGATGTGTTTAATCATGTGTGACAAAACAATAAGATTGAGAAGTACCTCAGGGGATTATTAGGGGATCAGAAGTGGCATTATCACTATGATACATCATTATCACTCAGTACGGCAAATACCCTGGGTCCCAGAGAAAGGTACAAATGTTGTCTTTCATCCAGGTGTATCTTTATTTCAACAAGCTTGCAGTGTTTCTCAAATGTCACTTTGTAATTATTCCCATGTTCTAGAAACTGGTTTGACAGTATCCTGGCATATGGTATGATGAATGAATGAATGTGAAGGGACTCAGTGTTCATTAGGCAGGATTTGAATGCCTGTTACCTCAAGAAGATACTGTTTCCAAATCTAGTAATGCTCTAGATTATTCCCCTACACATAAGTAAATCAAATGCAGGTCGACGACTTGAAGACTGGGGTTGTGGCTAAGTGGTATAACACTTGCCTACCATGAGCAAGTCACTGGGTTCAGTCCCCAGCACCACAAAAGAAAGAAAAAATATTTAAATATATACCTCCTTCCAAGCTCATGACCTAGAAGAAGAGAAGTTGGTTAAAAGAAGGCATTTGTGAAAAAAATAAATTTTGAGGAAATTTGAAATAATATCTGTTTGTTGTCGTTATCATTATCTTGTGTAGTAAGCACCTCTGTGATAACATATGGCAAAAAGGTGCCAGAAAAGTTTTTGGTGGTTCCTTTTGAAGGCTAGGAGTATGTTTTACTCACCTACAAGACTTCCCTACGCCCTGCTGATCTTGCTGAAGACTAAAATGTTTTTCTATTATCTATTATGCGGTTTCCATGTGCTCAGTATGACTAACGCATTAGTCACAGGTTACAATAGGGGAGATTGAAGAAAAGATAGTCCTCATCTCTAGACCATGAGAGTAATAGTGAATTAGAATCCTCAGAGCATGCCCAAGGACAGTGGGACTGGCAAGAATTATCAATGTTCTGGGCTCAAGATAGATGGCAATAACCAAGTTCATACTTCATTCTGCTTGTGCAATGTAGCCAAAACCCACCAACACTTGCACCTTTAGGAGCTTCCTCGAGAGTGCCTCACATGAATACCTGTGTCAAGTTGGCCCAAGAGGTGATCCTCAGGGTTCTGACCCAGAAGCAAATTCAGCCATCTATTCTGAGACACCAAAGTCTGACTTTAAGACCAAAATAAACAGAAATTGAAAAAGAAGGAAAACAAAATTCTGAGTCTCCTCCAGAAGCCTAGTAGAGAGAGGGAAGTGGCACATCTAATATTCCTGGCCACATGGACAGATTTTAATGACCCTAGAAAAAAAATGTGCTGTTATAAGTGGAGAAGAAAACAGCTATTGTCTAACACTTAAATAAAAAAATACTGTATAAACAACCAACAGCTGTTTTTCAACCTTTGGTCTTCAGAGGAAAAAAAAATCAATAAAAGAAAAGACTCTTTCAAGCGTGGCTTTGGTCAACTAATTTCCAACCCAGAATTAAGCCCTGTTTCAGAAAGTTTTATTTTGAAGACTAGAGAAAACTACAGAGTCAAATAAGCCACCAAAGGTCCAGATGGAGGCTGAGCCATACAGGCTTTACTGTACCAAGAGAAAGGTACACCTACGTCCCAGTGATCTTGGAGTTGAAAGCAGAAACCAGCACTCTTGAACCCTGAAATTGGAAAGTGGATATTAAAACGAAAAAATATTGACATGCAGAAGAAGGCAAGGAGGTGTATCTCTTTGTTTGACTTCAGCTCCGTGACCACAACGACCTTCAAAAGGAGTAGATGACAGTCCATCTTGTCCATGTATAAACACTACCTGACAAGGCGGAGAGGACTCTAATGAGTGCCCATTTTGTAAATAGGGAAATTATAGGGGACTTTCCAAAGGGATATTCACATGAAAAATGACTAGCTAAGTCCTATAATTATGAAGCCAGAGGGATAAACTAACAGGAACTTTTCATAAACAGAGACTCAGGATGATCCCTGACTTATTCCCTCCAGGTCCTCTGCTAATGCTGTTTTCTCCATGCTGAATACCAGCTTTGTCTCCGTAAGTGCATTATCTTACATGTACTTTAGATATGGACATTTTGACCATCTCTCACTTTTTCATTATATATTAAGGTATAGATACAACTATATATAATAGAGAGAGAAACAAAGCTTTGAAATGTTCTGTTTCCTATATCATTGCTTTATCTTTCTTAAACTTATGAACTTCAACTACAGCTCCTCCTGCCTATGTGTATCTTGTTGCTGTGTTCTCTATTGATTAAATATTATGGACTCATGACATCCATTCCCACTATTATGGCAGAGGCAACCCTCTGAAAGCAGGAGCTACGATTTTCTAAGATCCTGGGTACAATACGGTTTTTAATGTGCTGCTGGGCTCACAGAGAGCAAAGAAACCCTCCAAAGTCCAAAGAAACAAGCATCCAGCTGAAATCCAGGTAGGAGGTCATAGGGTGGGACAAAGTCCAACATTTACCACCCCCCACCCCTTCTACCCTACCCCCCATGCCAATTGGAATTTAATATGAGGTTAACATTTACTGAGGTGTGAAACCAAAGTCACATCTCCTACCTTAACCCCTGACTATTGAAGAGGGTTAATTCAGTCCTCTGGATTCTGGAAGAAACAAACAAAAATCTCTTCTGGAGTAAATAGCTTCAGGATTCTCACAAATCAAACAAAATTTAGAATCAAAGATCACCAAACCACAAAAGAATAAGCCACCATATGTAAGAGAAAACGGAAACAATAAATTTATATTTCCAGGACGTTAGTACTGAATTATCAAATGCAAAATTTGAAATATATGGAATGTTTTTAAAAATCCAAGATGGGATTATAACTGTGTAGATATACCAAGAGACTGCAAAATATGATTAAGCAGATTTGGGAAAGAGGCAAGTAAAACACTTAAAAATGAAAAATATAATTGTTGAAATTAAACACTCTGTGGTAGAATTAAATACTAAATCAGACACAGTAGAGGGCTTGTGGCGGGGAACTGTATAGCTCAGTGGTAAAGTACTTGCCTGGCATGTGCAAGACTCTGGGTTCAATCTCCAACAACATGAAAAAGAAGGAGGAGCAGGAAGAGGAGAAACACAGTTTAAAAGAGAATTTTTTAACTAATATGCCTGAAGAAATTATCCAGAATCGGGCTGGAATTGTGGCTTCGTGGTAGAGTGCTCACCTAGCATGTGTGGAGGCCCTGGGTTCGATCCTCAGCACCACGTATAAATAAATAAAACAAAGGTATGTGTCCACCTACAACTTAACAAAATATTTTTAAAAAGAAAGAAAGTTTCCAGAATATAGCACAGAGAAACAGAAAGATAGAAAATATGAAATAGGGATTAAGACAATGGAGGACAGAATGAGAAGACTTAATGCACTTTACAACAGGAGTTCCAGAAAAGGCTAGAGAGAATAAATGAAAGGCAATATTCAAATGAATAAGAATAATAAGAGTTTCTATAACTGATGAGAAATATTAGTCCCCAAATACAGGAAGTACCACCTATGCCACGCAAGATAAGTTCTAGAAATCTACTCCCAGACACATTGCAACAAAAACGCAGAATGCAAAACTCAAAAAGATGCTCTTAAGGGAAACAAAAAGCCCATAATCTACAAAGAATCAACAGGTAGATTGTAACAGACATCTTTATACAGAACCCAGAGTACTATAGAATATCTTAAAAGTGAAAGAGAAAAAACTGGAGAACTGCATGTGATGCAACACTACTTTTAAGAATGAGTGGGAGGTAGATTTTTCAAATAAGCATCATTATGTATGAACAAGAAAATGAGCAATACGAGGGGTGCAACGCTTAAGCTTCTTTATGAGCACACCCTGGGAATCCTTTCATGTGAAAAACAGATTTAATATGAGGTTAACATTTACTGAGTTGAGTGACAAGGAGACTTTTTCATGTTCCTTCCCTCTGGGATTTCAAGAAACAATTGAGTTATTGGTGGTTTAAAATGTCAGAGAGCAGTAATCACAATGTGCAACCCACTCTCAATTACTTCAAGTATTCTCCGATTTTGAGGCTATTCTTGAGAACTAAAATGTTTTTCTAGGATATATTGTGTAGTTTCCACGTGCTCAGCCTGACTAATGCATTAGTCACAGGCTCCATGAGAGACTGAGCAAAGTCAGTCTGTATCTCTGGAACAACCTTGCTTCCCAACTAAGAGTTCTCCACTCCCACCAATTACCTCCCCTGCTGCCATCTCTGAAACTGCTTCTCTCCCTGACAGGAGACACTTTTTGAGTAGGGACTTGCTGCTTCTTGAAGCCTTTTAGTTTGGTAAAAAATCTCCATCCTCCCTCTTGTGCAGAATTTCTCCCTGGATTTCTCACTCCTTAATACTATCATCTCTTGTCTATTGGTAGGAAAATGTGTGCACCCACTGTTAAGAGGACTGAGAACAAGAAACCCAGAAGAAAACTTAGGTGAAGTTGATGCCACTTGAACAAAGATATTTTTATTTATATAATTAACTTTTTTGTAGTTGTAGATAAACAGAATGCCTTTATTTTATTTGTTTATTTTTATGTGGTGCTAAGGATGGAACCCTGTGCCTCACGCATGCTAGGCAAGCACACTCTCACTGAGCTACAGCCCCAGCCCTGAACAAAGATATTTTAAGCCATGCTTTTTGTAACATGGGACAGTGTGAGCCAGCCCAAGACCCAACCATCAGGAACTAGCTTAGCAAATTTTGGCAAAATAA